CCGGGTTGAGTTGTGGATGGGTGGCCCTGTGCTCAGGTGGCCTCAGTTTTGTACAGAGAGCTCCTACAGGGCAGTGAGCTCTCGTGGACCAGCCGCCAGGTGGCGAGGGAGGAGGGGCTCTCACATTCTGCCAGCTTTGCCCAGGGCTCTCCCAGGTACCAGGTCAAAGAGTACCAGGTCGGGGAAACAGTGCCGAGGGGGATGGTGCCTTGTGTTTCTTCTGCATTTCCGTATACCTTCTGCTGCTTGGTGTCTTGACTTACGTGTGAGCTAATTAAGTTCAGATGCTTAGAAAATAAATGACCACTAAGTCTACAGGAGGTTGTCTGTGCTGCTCCAGAATCTCAGATATTTCTTGGCTACACTTTTACCTTCACCTGAGAAAAGAGGAGTGCTCCTTGATTTGTTCCTACCTCAGCTCTTAGGGACCTAATACGTGCTATTCACTGAGCAGTGGGAAAAGGCAGACTCCTTGCAGTTTAGGAAGAGGTGGTGTTTGCGGTCCCTGGCTCTTCCTGAAAACTGACTGGAGGTGTGTTGTTGCAGGCTGGGGGTTCCTCGGTGGCGTCTGCTCCAGTGTCCGCCTTCTCTCGCACTTCTGTCACACCCTCCAATCAGGACATCTGCAGGTAACGCTCTGCTTCAGACACTACAACAGCTTGTGTGCATCCCAGAAATAAGCCTTCATGTCTGTAGGTTCTTGGTTCTCCATATGCCTCTGCTCTAAACAGTCGACCCAGTCTTATGTGCTGTTTGCTCAACAAGTTACCACGCGAGTCTCACTTCTTCACTTTGATGTCTATTCTCTTTTAAAACTGTTTTTACTCTCTGTGCTTTTATTCCACTGTTCTCTGCATGCAGTTCCAGTGCAGTGTTTTCTGAGTGTTGTCACCACAGTCCCGTGCAGTCTGCTGTTGTCTTGAAAGCTCCTCCGTGCCAGAGTCCTCTGACCCAAGGGCTCACTGTGACAGTTATCTGTCAAGACACAGTACAGGCGTCAAAGAGGAATTCCTATGGCTCAGATTGGGTCCAGGCCTCAAAGCCTGCTAAGAATACCAAAGCCAGAAGAACACTAAAGTTCTCAAAATCCCTAAATGATATGGGTGAGAAGGCCCAGGACATTTGGGGAAGTTCTGACTATGTGGAGAGAACATGCTCTGAAGGGAAACTGATGCGCCCCCAGGACCCCTGTGTCAGAATTAACAGGTTCCACCATCAAGAAAGAAGAACACTGAATTGCAAACCTCTGGGCAGTTCCAAATATTCTTGCGTCTCATCCCTTTCGGCCAGTCGTTCTGCGGCCTCGGAGGTGGGAGCTGGCAAGGGGGACATAAACGTCCCGCTTGCGGAGGAGAAGGCGGATGGCGAGGCCATGTCCAGAAGCCGGCGACTGCTCCGGTGCCTGTTCTCGCTGGCGCACGGCTCGAGCGCCGGCAGCCTGCAGCGGTTCCACGAGCTGGAGAGCCGCGCCGCTGCCCGGCACGCCGCCAAGTCCTCCAGCGGGCTGGCGGGGAGCGCCGGCTTCTGCTCCGACGACATGGGGGATGACGACGTCTTTGAGGACAGCGCCTCCCCAAAACTGAAGAGCAGGGTCCTGCGGGCGCCCCTCTGCTCAGTGGAGAAGGACAGCGACCTGGATTGTCCTTCCCCCCTCTCTGAAAAGTGTCCCCCCACTTCTCCCGTGTCCGCGTCAGCGGATGCCTGCAGGTTGGTTTGCCGAGAACCACTGTTCTGGCCATCTCTGCTCCCTACACCTCCATGGCCTCATCTTGCTTTAATATGTGAAGTTTCAGGAAAATGAATAGGCAGCTGTAGGCAATTATGGATTAATAGTTTTCTCTGGAAGAATAGAGTATCGATATCGTTGGGAAAACCAATTTTTATGACCTGGGCCCCAAGATAGTTTCACAGATGATAAAAGAGGAAGAAGCTACACATATTAAAGGCCAAGCTGACTCTTCTCAACTTAAAATAAGTAGCCTTTGCATAAAGAAATTGGAAGAAAATAGTTTCTCCAGTCCTCCAGATTGATGGTCTAGATAGTAAGCACTGGCTGCCCCTCCCAGCCGCATTTTTACCCCTTGCTCCATCTGCAGCACGATGTGCCTGCGAAAGGGCTGTTCTTCAGCTCCTTCCTTCCTTTTATTTATTTTTTTAAACTTGGATGCAGCCACCTCTACCCAGGTCCTAACTCTACTTCCCACCTCCCTCTTCCTGGGTGGAGCGTCCTTGTCAGGCCTCCAAAATCTTTCAGAATTCACTTTTGTCACCACGCTTATGCCTTCCCCATTCTAACCTTCCCTCGAGCCTCCATCCCCGTCAGGGCCAGCTGTTACCATTTCTTTTAACAGTTGGATCAGGAACCCCTCTCCCAGAAGCAAACAGCTGGCCGGCTGGCCTGGGCCAGAGCCCAGCTCCTTTCAGGCCAGGTGTCCCTTCCTGCTCTCCAGCTACTGGAAAGACCTTTCTGTTTCTCAAAAGTCTGTTCAGTTCCTTAGTAGCTGCATCCTGTTGCATGCACCCTTAGGGATAATGAATGATTTAAAATTCTCACTTTTTGCTATGAGTGGTCCTGAAAAAAGAAAAAGAAATGAAATTGCAGCACCTTACAATGGATTTTCAGATCCAGGAGAGGTTCTGTGGTTTCTCTGTTCACTCTCTGAGAAAGGACAGAAATCTGTAGTTGTAGTGTGTGAAGGTGAGCTCAATGATTGGAACCATCAAGCAAATTTCATCAGCTTTTCAAGTCCCTGATATTTTTGAAAGGTAGAGTGCTGGTTTTGTTTTACACAGTTTTACCTCTAATTATTTTAACGTCATAAGTTCTGAAACATGCTTCCGTGTTGCCTTAAATTCGTCTTTTAGTGAAGTTCTTAAGTCTTACCAAAAATGACTGCTTTGTCATTCCTTGTATCAGTTTTTCCTCTCTGAAGCCAAATGCCATGCAGACTTTCCGTGTTGGTACGGTAAGCTAGAAATGTTTAGTTTGTAGTAATTGTTTTCATTTGTGTTTGTATGTTTCTGTGTTCTTAGTCATTTTGTGATGTTTGTTTCTGAAAGTTTTCCTCGGGGGGGATCGACCTTCCACTGGAGCGTCGTTCTCCCCGTGGTCCGGCACCCCTGGGAATGACCAGCTGTCCTTCTACCGTAGGATCTGTCACTGTGAAGGGGATGACGAGAGCCCTTTGATCACGCCATGCCACTGCACGGGGAGCCTCCACTTTGTGCACCAGGCCTGCCTGCAGCAGTGGATCAAGAGCTCGGACACGCGCTGCTGTGAGCTGTGCAAGTACGAGTTCATCATGGAGACCAAGCTGAAGCCGCTGAGGAAAGTATGTGTGAGGACCCCCGCGGAGAGGCGTGCCTGGGGCTGGGCGCCTTGGGCTGGGTGGAGCCCCAGTCGGCTGGTGTCCGTTTGTTTAAGCAGGAGCTGGTGTGGACATTCACGTTGCTGGTAGCGATCTCCAGGTCCCTCCTCTCAGGAAGAAGCTCTTTCTGACCATTCCTTCAGACTGTTTTCTTTCTCCTTAAAACTAAGACTGCTTGCTTGTCTGTCTGTGTCCGTCATTTGGCCCCTGACCACAGACTGTCCTGTGACATCGTTGTCACTTTTAACTTGATACGTATGAACTGTTCACACTTTGCCTCTCTTTAGGACCGTACAGCGGAGCTTAGTCTCCTTTCTCCCCAGCATAACGTAGTAAATTTAATTCTATATTGCTGTAATAAGTATTTGCTAGATGGGAGGGCGGAGGCAGAAAGGAAGGAACCACAGGTGTTCTGTGAAACACAACTCTTGTCAGGCCTCGTGTCCTTGCTTCCTCTGAGAGGACCCTCGTCCGGCACTCCCTCCTGGGCGGACATTGGCTGCTTAGTGCGTCTGTGTGCTCAGCTTATGGAGAGATTTTGTTTGAAAGAGTAAAAGACATGTTCTTCTCTCAAAACTGTAATACGTAAATCACAAGGGGCATCACAGAATCAGGTAACAGCACTTGGCAGTGCCAGTTAAATGCTAATTTCTGTGGCCGTATCAGATGTTCAGAGGAGGGAGTATTCATGGCGGGTTGGAGTGCCGGGGAAGCAGCGTGGTGGTAGCATTGCAGAATGTTGGGGTGTTGGAGCAGTTCTTCAGGGATCGTTAGGATTTGGGAGGGTGGGGTGAAGGAGCTTAGAGAGGTCAGATTGTCTCTGGAGAAAAGCACCCACCAAAAAGGAAGGGCGAGCATTTCAGGGGAGTGTGAAAGGCTTGAGCTGAGTGTGTCTTAGAAGATCAGGGGAGCATTTTAGGAGGGAAGCCCAATGAAGATAATTACAAAAACACAGCAGAAAGCAGTCTGGTCGTTCGAGAAGGCAGGCACAAGCTACTTAAAAAACCTTCTGCCCCATAATTGATTGGGTACCTACTCTGCTGGTCTCTCAAGTGAGTCTCTTGCACTCATGGTTCACAGCTAATCCACGGGGCTCTGCTGTCAGCTTATCGTGCATGGAACCCGCTGGACAGAGGCTGTGAATGGGGCTGGCAGAGGATGTGCAGTGTTTACCCTTGTTCTTTTTCTCTACCTTTATGTGTTTTCTTCTGATTCGGAAACCGGTAAATGAAAAAGAAAATCTGGCTATTTGGAGTAAATTAATGAGCTCCTAGAGGAGATGGGACTGGCACAGACTGCTTGTACCAGGAACTCTTAGCATCGATTTCACGGTGTTGCTGCCAAAGTAGCAGAGGACCAAAGAGTGAGCGCCTCCCGCCATCACCTTCACGACGTAGTGTGACCCATCTGCTAGTGTGTTGTGGTGCCATCAGCCCCCTTCTTCCCTCACTCATGCCGGTCAAAGTCAGGGAAACCTAAAACGTGCCACCTGGGTCTTGGGCCAACATGCTGTTTTCATCAGGCCTGGAGCCATAGCCTCCTTTATCAAGCCATTTAATGTCTGCTTGCAAGACTCTGCAGCCAAGGGGATTGCTGGTGGTGGTTCATAGCTCATCTTGATCCCAGCTTCTTTTCATTGCATAGCAAGTTGGCTGTCGACAGAATACCAGTGCCTGGTACCTGGTTGAAGCCAAGTGATTTAAAGAGAGCGACTCTGGGTGTTTGGGGGAGATTCATCTAGTTTGGGAAAGGGGGAGGGAGGAGAGAAGCCAGTCTTACTCATCACCAAAGCCCTCACCCCATCGTAGTGCTTACGTCCGTGAGCCTGAGCCTCACGCTCTACCTGTTCTGTTTCCAGTGGGAGAAGTTACAGATGACAGCCAGCGAGCGCAGGAAGATCATGTGCTCAGTCACATTCCATGTCATCGCCATCACCTGTGTGGTCTGGTCCTTGTACGTGCTCATCGACCGCACCGCCGAGGAGATCAAGCAGGGGCAGGCAACAGGTATGCGCTCAGAGCAAAGGTGCGCCCGGCGCAGAGGCCCTGGCTGCCACACTGGGTTTTCAGACTGGGGTGTTAATCTAGATTGCTTTTCAAGTCAGACCTCAAATGTCTGGGCTGCTGGAGGGAGGCATCAATTATGAGGCACCATGCATCCTCTTTGGATGTTTCTTGGTGCTGTGGTAATAGTCCTTAAAACCTAGTCAGGGGAGATCAAGTCATGGAGCGAGAGGATCTCTACAAACCCCCCCGGAAGAGCAGGGTAAAAGGGAGTGGACACTCACTCTCTTCCACTCCTCCAGCTAAGCAAGATCTGATGAGTTAAGAATCTCTGGGTTACGGGAAGTTCGGAAATTGTGTTTTATTTACTTCACATCTTAAATAAGATCTTCTCATAGGCTCATGGGCTTTTTTCCTTCCAGGAATCCTAGAGTGGCCCTTTTGGACTAAATTGGTGGTTGTGGCCATCGGCTTTACTGGTGGACTTCTTTTTATGTACGTTCAGTGCAAAGTGTACGTACAATTATGGAAGAGACTCAAGGCTTATAACAGAGTAATCTATGTTCAGAACTGTCCAGAAACAAGCAAAAAGAATATCTTTGAAAAATCTGCACTAACAGAGCCCAACTTTGAGAATAAAGATGGACGTGGAACCTGTCATTCCGACACAAACTCTTCTTCTTGCACAGAACCTGAAGACACTGGAGCAGAGATTGTTCACGTCTGATTGTGTGGAGGGTGTAGTTTTCCTGGACACCCATGAACAGCTGAAGGAAATTGTTTACTGCCAATTGTGTACCTTTTCTTATGTCCTTTAATAGCAGAGACTGGGCAGGTCACTATTTTTAATGGCTTCTCTTTTTCTAAATCCTCCTTAGTGACTCTCCTGGAAAGCCCTCACGTGGGCTGTGCACGACGGGCTTCTGCCCCTGCCAGCACGTCTGTGGGAAGGGAAGGCGGGAGACCCGTGACACCGTGGTGGCAGCTGGCCGGGTTCTGGCCTGTAGTCTTGAGTGGGATGAGAGAGTAAGATGGCAAATGTGTGGGAAGAGCAGGCGCAGGCGGAGCCTGGGCCCCGGCGCGCCTCCTGCACCCCGCCCTGAGGAGAGGCTTCCCCTCACTCAGGAGGCCGCTGGCACCAGTTCTCCCGAGCAGCCCTGGGCCGCGGTGCTCTGTGCGAGGTGGCAAGCGATTCACTAAGCAAACAGCACTTTACAAAAAGAGAATCTTTATTTTGTAATATGTGTGTCCCGTGGGATTGACATTTAAAAGAATGTCTCGTTTAGAAACATCCCCTTCACGAACCTGATTATCTCTTCATGTTATAATAGATCTGAAGCCCTTTTTGCCTTATATATTCTAAGAAATGTGACATCCACTCTGTGTCCATAACAGGGACTTGTGACTCCAAAGCAGGACAGCCAGGTCTGAGGGCTTTTTCATAATTTCATGGGAGTTAATGGATTGGATGCTCAGTGTCAATTTGAGCATAATTCCTATGGTTTCGAGCCTGTCTTATCCCAAGTCTTCACTTCATAGGCCTACCCTGAACATTTCTTTTGTGTCTGTCCTGAAGAAGGGTTCACGAGATCGAAAGGAAAGGAAAGGAAGTGAGTAATTAGAACAAAAGTGAATATTTAAAAACTATTCCTTTACAGACAAACCGCTCCAGTTTGCGCTGGCTTCACATTGAGAGAGTAAGTCCGGGCTGCGCGCGCTGCGGGAACTCCTGGGTGTCTGCCGCTCGTTCAGCCCCCACCCGGCAGACTCTGGCTCACTGCCCAGGGCAGAGAGGCAGACTGGCTGGCTCTGGGGCGAAGGCCAGGAGTGAGCAGCAAACTGCCATGGTCCACTGTGTCCCTGCCCCCAGCCACACCCCTGCCCATTTGTCGCCTTAACTGGACTGAACAGAGAGGATCCTTTAGGGGTCCTTGGCCTTGCTGTCGGTCTGTTCTGTCATCAGGGATTATCTGCTGGACCATTTTTCATAAAACCAAAATCACTACCATCAAATGGCCTTTGTCCCTTTAAAAAGTCAACTTAAAATTCTGTTTTTAAAAACCAACATGCCAGGCAAATAAGAGTCAACTGGAGGAAAATAAGCCAGCGGGTTTACAGTGTAACGTGACTATGCCTGGGTACTTCCTCTCCCGGCAGCTCTGCAGATGCCTGGGGTGAGATGCCTGGGGTGAGACGCCTGAGGGCCCTGCCCTCCGTCCTCTGAGCTTTAGGTGTTTCATCCATCCTGTTAGGACATGAAGCAGACACAAGATGATTCCTTTGCCTTTCAGAGTGGAGGCCCCATCATTTGTTGTGAAAGCTGGGAGGAGGCTAAAGACTCTCTAGGCGCTGAGGCATGGCTCTCGTAGCAGGCTTTGTCCTCCCGTGGTTGACTCTGGCTGGGCAGGTCCAACCACAGTCGACCCTTGGAAGTAGGTCAGCCTGCCCTCTGTCTCCCAGGCCACGTCCAGTTCGTGCCTGTGCTCTCTGTGCCCCGAAGTGCAATTACCTACACCCCTTCTCAGCCTGGGGACACCGAGCAGCTACAGACTGCCCACTCAGGAGAGCTGAATCCCTGGTCAGCCCTGCCTGTGCCCCTTGTCCCTGCCACCCTCTAACGGTGGGGGAGTGGTCAAGGGGAGACCTCTTCCCCCTGGTGGAACCCCTTATGCTGAACTTGAAAAGCACTGAGACTTCTGTAAAGAGGAAAGTGTGCTCAGGCGGGGATAGCCCCTGGCAGCCCTCCCCCTCGTTGTGGCTGGCGCCCCCTGAAGCAGAGGTGCCTTTATCACCGTGACTGTCGCATTGCTTCTACGCCCAACCGCATTCTCCCGTGAAGCCCTCTCACTTCTTTTCAGGAAGCACCTAACACCATCTCTTCACCTCCAGCCGAGCTCCTAAAAGCCTCTGCCTGTGGACAGTCTGTCCCATCTCCTCCTTTTCTCTCCTGGGATGGCACACAGCTACCCCCTTGCCTCTTTTTTCTCACAGTTTCTGATGAGCACCTCTGACCCCGTGGTTCCAGTGCTAACCTCTGCCCCTACAGGGACCAAGTGTCAAGCCCGGGCTGGGTTGTGCTGTGCTGCCACCTAGTGGGAGCTGCCAGGCATTCCTTCAGTCTAGGTCAGCTTGCCCTCTAGGTTCTTTTTGGGGGGTTAGTCATTCCGCATTTTCTCATTTTGCTCCTGGCTTTAGTGCGAAGATGGCATTTTGCTGAACCGTATAGAAATGAGATGAGCTTGCAGGCCTCTGAGCCAGGAGGGCTGGTATTTGTAGACCAGGCAAGGGGGAGAGGGAAGCAGCCTCTGCTGTCACCAGCCATCGCTGATTTGGTCTCTGCTCTCCCCGAAATAGCAGTTCCACTCAAGATCTTTTGTGCCTGAGTTTATTTTTAAGATTTTCCTGAAAACTGTAAAATGTCTCTTCCTACTCCAGGCCCCCTAATGTCTCTTCTTTTTTGGCCTCAGTCACTCTTTTCCATCTCACGGGTCCAGTTCCCAAACCTACAGATGTGCCCTGCCTGGCCACAGACATACGGGCCCCAGGCACTGGGCCGGTTTTGGAGCCTGAGGTCATGCCTGCATGGGCTGGAGCTGCTTCAGCTGCCTGGCGGTCGCTGCAGAGCCGGAGGAGGACTGGGCATGGCAAGGTAAAGATCCACGATGCTGTGGGTTTGGCTTAATGCAGATACACTTTGAAGATACTTTCCCTTTTGGATCTGATGTGAAATATGCAGCTTCCATCTCTAGCCCAAGCAAAGACCGAAAGGTAGGGACATAAAAGTGTTTGTCTTTGTTCTGGAAGTAATTAAATTGTGTGACTCATCACCTATTTAGATGCAATGTTTATAGAACATTGATTGTTAATAAAGACCAAATTTACACTGGCATGTGTGGTGTAGTTTCTAAAAGGCACTTCACACTTGAAGTTTTTCTTAACTTAGAAAATTTCTGGTTACCTGAATGTCTAGTTTTGTATCCTTTCGTGTATGTTCACTGTTTCTCAGTATTACTGCTTGAATAATTCTGTTTTGGGGGTGGTTTGTGCTGTCTGTACACGGGAGTGTCTAACTGCAGCAATAAAGCATTTCTTTAAAAAGGAGTTTTGCCAAGAAAGTTGATTTCCTGGAAGGAGGCTGGGAACGTTGGCAGGCCCTCCAGCAGTCTGATCCCCTTTCCGGGTTTCTCTGGCTTGCTCCTCAGGGGAGAAGAGCCTGTAGCCCCGGCCTGTCCCTGTAACGGAGGACGGATCCCCAGACCCTGGCGGCCAATGGGGAGGCGTGGGTTCTGGAGGGTGTGAAAACTGAAGTCGTTCCCACAGGTGTGCTTGTTTCAAACATCCAGGCTCTACTTGGGCTCTCCGCCCTGAGAGAAGCCAGACTCCAGTTCGGGGGCTGCAGGCAGCATGGCCGTTGCAGCAGCCCACTGCTTAACTAGCCTCAGCTGTGGAAACATTTCTTGAAACACAGTCCAGCTGAGTGAGGGACCCAGGAAGGGCTGGCAGGATGGCTGGCGAGAGCTGAGCCTGGCTGCGGCTCCCGGCTCCCAGCGGGGCTTCCCTGAGTGATGGCAGTGCTCTTGATCCCCCAGTTTCAGGACTGCAAACCACTCCCAAGTCTGTGACTGCTGATGGTGGGTCCCTGGCTTTAGCCGCATGCACAAGGCGAAAGGAGGTGGTTGAGATGGCCCCAGCGTACTGGGGGAGCCAGGAGAACGCGTCTACCCGTCCACCGGTTCAGGCACCGCAGGAGGCTGCTGGGAGGCTGGGGAGCCTGAGCAGGAGGGTGCTCTGCCAAGTGTCCTCCTTGCCTGCCTTGGAAGGAGAGGTCCCTGGAACTGAGTGGAGCTGTGGGGGCTCCTAGAGGACGAGGAGGTGACGACAGAGCAGCTGAATCTGCTAAGGTGTGTGCTTTGGGAGGGAGAGGAGGAAGGTGAGGAAGGTGTGGGAGGAAAGCCAGGAGGCCCCAGGGCTCATCTGAGCTCAATTGTGGATTGGGGGAGTGGTGAGGGGTGCGGAGCTGACAGAGGAAACTTCTTCTGTAGGAGTGTGAAGTTGCGGCGCCAAGAGGAGCCTCTTTGCTTTGAGGACCCGATGAACTTAATGAGCTTGGCTGAAAGGACACCAAGTAGGGTCTTTTTGCAGGTAGGCTTGGGACAGTGCCACCCCAAGGCCTTTCTGCCCTTTGACACCAGCCACAAAGTGACGAGTAGAGCTGCCACTAGGGGGCACTCTGAATCCACCAGGTCAGGGCTGGTCTTTCGTCTTGTCAATACACTCATGGGCGTGCAGCCCTGCCGGTTCACTGACATGTTGTGTTCAGCTTGTTTCCTGCTATCATGGCAAAGGTGAAAAGCTGGGACCACTCGTATGGCCTGCAAAGACTACCGTCTTTATTTACATGGCCCTTTATAGAAAAAGTTTGCCAATCCTCCGTCTGTAAATGGTGCCCCTAGAGCTGTGCACAGCCCACGTGGCGTCAGAGGCTTGGATGAATCCTTCTCTTTTATCTTACTGATGTTTTACTTTGCTTTTATTAGATAAAGGAGATCAAACATCTTTTGTTTACTGCCCATTTCTGTGAACTCTGTGAATTTCCATGTCTTGGCCATTTCTGTAGGACTCTTTTTTTTTTAGTATCTTTAGATGGAATCATTGGTACTTTTTATGATGTAAAAACATTAACTCTCTACTTTTATATAAATGGCAAGTAAGTGCAGTTTATGAGCTTTTTTAACATTTTATTATGAAAATTTTAAATATAAAAGTTTACCTGTATAGGGAGAATACATACACCCTGGATTCTATAATTAACATGTTGCTATATCTGCTTTACCATGTGTCTCCATCTATTCATCACTCTGTCCATCAACTTATTTTTTTATTCATGAATTTCAGAGTACATTGTGGCCGAATACTTCACCTCAGCCACTTCAATCTGCATAGTGTTAACCTGGAATTCAGTATTTGTTTATGGTTCTTTTTGTTCTTAGGTAAAATTTACACAGCGTGAAACACATCAATCTTAAGTATACCACGTGATGAGTTTTGGCAAGTGTATCCACCAGTGTAATCCAAACCCCTTTCAGAACATAGAGTATCACAATTCTGTAAATCTGATGCTCTTTCCAATCCATGCTTGTCTCCATACTCCCCAAAGCAGACATTGCTCTGATTTTTTTGGTTTTAGCTTGTCCTAGAACTTAATTTTAAGGGAGCCATACGTACAGTATAGTCTTTTGTATAACGAGTCTTTCAGTCAGCACAGTGTTTTTGAGTTTCATCTATGCTAATTGTATCAGTTAGCTCATTGTTTAATTGTTGAGTAATATTCCATTGTACGAATATACCAGTGTCTTCATCCATTTTCTTATTGCTGGATAAGGCTGTTTCCAGTGTTTAGCCATTATGACCAGAACTGCTAAGAACATTTTTGTACAAATGTTTCTGTGGACGTATGTTTTCATTTCTTTTGGGTAGTGCCAAGGAATGAAATACTGGTTCAGATAGAGTAGGGATATGTTTAGTTTTTTAAGAAACTAAACAGACATTTTTCCAAAGCAGGTGTACCATTTTACATCCCCACCAACAGCATGTGAGGGTTCCAGTTACTTCAAATCCTTGCCGGCATTTGGTGTTGTCAGTCACCAACATAAAATACAAGAATTTCAGCCATTCCCAGAGATGTCTGTTTTATTCATTGTAGTTTTAATTTGCATTTTCCTAATGACTAATGATGTTGAGCATCTTTTTATGTGCATTGGTCATGTGTTTATTTGCCATTCACAAATCCTCTATTTCTTTATATCAGTGGCCAGTACACAGCCTACTGGCCAAATCCAGCCCATGGACTATTTTTTTAAGAACTTTGAGCTAGAAATGTGTTTTACATTTTAAAAGATTCTTTTAAAAAATGCAACAGATTGTATGTAGCCTCCCAGATCTAAAATATTTTACAGAAAAAATTTGCTGACCCTGCTGTGTATTTAAAGTTGTATCTTGTATATAACATATTGTTGGGTATTGATTTTTTAAAATCTATTCTGATATCTCTCCCTTTTAATTGGAGTTTTTAGTTCAGTAATATTTAATGTAATTATCAGTATGGTTGATTCTGTGTCTACCTGTATATTGTTTGTTTTCTTTTTGTCCTATCTAGTTTTTGTTTCTCTTGTCCTCTTTTCATGCTTTCTTTTCAGTTATTTATATATTTTTAGAATCCCATTTTATGTCATCTATTGGGTTTGAGCTATACTTCTTTATTTTTAGTAGTTGCTCTAGAGATTATGATCTATGTACTTAATTTTTCACAAATTACTTACAATTAATATTGTACCACTTGAGGTAAGAGGTAAGAACCATGTGACTGAAAAAGTCCATTTAATACCCATTGTGTTTTATGCTACCTTCATATATATTATGCTTACATGTGTTACAAATGCCACATGATGATGTACAATATTTGCCTTAAATAGTCATATATATTTTAATGGAATTAATTTAAATTTAATTTATCTCTTAATTTGCCAAATATTTACCATTTCTGATACTCTTCCATCTTTCCTGGGGACCTGACTTTCCATCTAGTGTCTTTCTCTTCAGCTTGAAGAATTTCCTTTAGCAGTTCTTTGTACTATAGATCTGTTGGTGATGGATTTTCTTAGTCTCGTTTTACCTAAAATTTTCTTAATTTTGTTTTCATACTTGAAGGATATTGTTGCAGGTAACAGAATTGTGTTGGTACTTGTTTTCTTTCAATATTTTAAAATGTAGTTCCATTGTCTTTTGGCATGTACAATTTCTGATGAAAACTCATATGTAATTCAAATCATTCCATTGTATGTGTGTGTCATGGCTTTCAGATTTTCTCCTTAAACTCTTTTTTTAAGTATAAGCATCTTTTTTTTTATTGAAGTATAGTCAGTTACAATGTGTCACTTTCTGGTGTAAAGCATAGTATCCCAGTCATGAATATATATGCATACATTCATTTTCATATCCTTTTTTATTAAAGGGTATTATGAGATACTGAATATAGTTCCTTGTGATATACAGAATAAATTTGTTTTTTTATCTATTTTTATATATAGTGGTTAATATTTGCAAATCTCAAACTCCCAAATTTATCCCTTCCTACCCCCTTTCCCCTGGTAACCATAAGATTATTTACTATGTCTGCGAGTCTGTTCCTGTTCTGTAGATGAGTTCATTAGTGTCCTCTTTATTCTTTCTTTCTTTCTTTTTTTTTTTAGATTCCACATATGAGTGATAAAATATGGCATTTTTCTTTCTCTTTCTGGCTTACTTCACTTCGAATGACAACCACCAGGTCCATCCATATTGCTGCAAATGGCATTATTTTATTCTTTTTTATGGTTGAGTAGCATTCCATTGTATACATATACCACAACTTCTTTATCCAGTCATCTGTCAGTGGACATTTAGGTTGCTTCTATGTCTTGGCTATTGTATATAGTGCTGCTATAAATATTAGGGTGCGGATATCTTTTTGAATTAGAATTCCCTGCAGATATATGCCCAGAAGTAGGATTGCTGGATCATACGGTAAGTCTATTTTTAGTTTTTTTGAGGAATCTTCATACTGTTTTCCATAATGGCTGCACCAAACTACATTCTCACCAACAATGTAGGAGGGTTCCCCTTTCTCCACACCCTCTCCAGCATTTATTGTTTGTGGGCATTTTAATGATGGCCATTCTGAATGGTGTGAGGTGATACCTCACTGTAGTTTTGATTTGCATTTCTCTAATAATTAGCAATACTGAGCATTTTTCATGTGCCTATTGGTCATTTTTATGTCTTCATTGGAGAATTGGTCGTTTAGGTCTTCTGCCCATTTTTGAATTGGCTTTTGTTGTTATTAAGTTGTAAGAGCTGTTTATATATTCTGGAAATTAAACCTTTGTTTGTTTCATCATTTGAAAATATTTTCTCCCATTCTGTAGGTTGTCTTTTTGTTTATGGTTTCCTTTGCTTTGCAAAAGGATGTAAGTTTAATCAGGTCTCATATGTTAATTTTTGCTTTTATTTCCATTGCCTGGGTAGACTGCCCTAGGAGAACATTGCTAAGATTTATGTCAGAG